GAACTAGCTTTGTTCAGTTGATCTATTTATCTGTCTAACCAAAAAAACACTTTTTTAATTTAAATTGTAGCTTTCTATTAGATCTTGAAAGCATGTAAAATCTCCATTGTTTTTTCTCTCTCTTTTTAGAAAATCGTTTTGTTCTTTTGGGAGTCTATTCATTTTCATACATTCTAGAATTTGTTTGGTAATATTAACATTTACAGAACTTTTGGGTGGGGGTTTTGAGCCACACCTGGTGATGCTCAGGGCTTACTCCTGGCTCTGCACTGAGGAGTTATTCCTGGCAGTGCTCAGGGGGCCATATGGGATGCCAGAATCAAAACCAGGTTAGGCATTTGCAAGACAAATATTCAACCACTGGACCTTTTTGCAGAGTTTCTGGTTGGGATTATGTTTGTCAATAAGATCATTTGGAGGAAGTTCACATCTTTAATTGTATTGAGAATAAAGAAAATATATTAAGGATTTGTTTTTTGGGTATTATATTTTGCCAATATTCACTAAGCAACTTTATTATTCTTTGGAAATGCTGAGAGTTTTGTATTTTCCAAACTTCCCCTTATGTGAGCAAGTAAAGATGCTTACCAGACAGAATATAACCAGCTCTTAGATTTGGTTCCTTTTTTTTTTTATGAGCAGAAGAAAATGTCAAAGAAGGGAAATAACTTCACTAACCTAAGAAAGTCTTTATGCCTATTAAACTGTGGGCAACTCAGTGATATTATTTAGCTCATTTTGAGTTCACCATCACAGAAAATTAACATCAGGACATAAAATTGTAGACTGCTATTTTTGTGGAGTGTGGGGGGAGGTGTTTTGGGTTGTGCCTGGCAGTGCTAAAGGCTTACTTCTGGATCTGTATTCAGAGATCTCTCTTGGTGGTTTTCTGGGGACCATGTGGGGCACTATGGATAAAACTGTGTTTCGGCTGCTTACAAACACCTTACCAACTGTACTATCTCTCCAGCCCAAGGCTAGTACTTTTCAGTATATGGATGTATGGTTTCTGGGACCATCAGCTAGTACTGATCATCCCAGAAGACTTGTGAGAAGTACAGATTTTCCTACTGTTAAGTCAGTAACTTTGAGAGGGGTATACACCAGCCTGTTTACACATGCCCTCTCTCTAATCCTGATAGAAGTTCACAAATGCTAAGACTTTGGTTTGTTTGGGGGCTACCCATAGCAATGCTCACGGGCTACTCCCTGCTTGGTGCTGAGGAGGCATTCCTGACAGTCAACTCGGGTGTTCCACAAGCAGAATATGCTCTCTGCCCTGGGAGCTATTTCTCAAGCCCCTATCATGAACAATTTTTTTTTAAGAAGTGCATTTATTTTTTGGCTTTTTGAGTCACACCGAGCAATGCTCAAGGATTATTCCTGGCTCTACATTCAGAAACTACTCCTGCTGGTGCATAGTTGAACTGTATGGGATGCCAGGGATTGAACCCAGGTCAGCCGCGTACAAGACAAATGCCCTGTCCACTGTGCTATCGCTCTAGCCCCAAGAAGTGTATATTTTGAGGGACGAGGGTGATAGTACATCAGGTATGATGCTTGCCCTGCATGTGGCCAATCTAAGCTCAATCCCTGGTGCCCCACCAGCAGTGATCCCAGAGCACAAAGCCAGAAACAGACAAAAACAATTTTTAAAATGTATATTTTGAGGTATAATTGATAATCAAAAGTGGGTCTTCTTTACTGATAGACTTTAAGCCCAAGAATTTTCTTTGTTCCTGGGGCTGGAGCAATAGCACAGCAGGTAGGGCGTTTGCCTTGCACGCGGCCAACCTGGGTTCGATTCCCAGGTTGGTCCCATATGGTCCCCTGAGCTCTGCCAGGGGTAATTCCTGAGCGCAGAGCCAGGAGTAACCCCTGTGCATTGCCGGGTGTGACCCCCCAAAAAAATTTTCTTTGTTCCTTAGTTCGGAACACCTGGGGTGATGTGTATGAGACTTTTTTTTTCTTTCCAAAAGATAAATTTCCAGTTTTATCAAGAGAAAGAGAAGTACAGGGATCAGTTTCGAGGTTCTTGTAGTTTATAGAGAAGTGAAATCCATGAAACTTGAATAGGGGGACAATAGGAAGGGTGAAATCACAGATGACTCATTCGCCAAAATGTTTTGACTTGTTCAGTGGTCAGTACAGGACTCTCACAGTCTGTCTTGTGGCGGTGTAAATCAGAGTTTCTAAAATCCCCCACTTACAGTCCCTTCTCAACCCAGAAATGCAACACGTGCTCATCTTGTTAAAAACACCTTGGCTTCCCTACACATTTGTTGCTTCTTTTGTTTTTATTTTTGTTTGGGGACCATGCCTGGTGATGCTTAGGGCTTACTCCTGGCTCTAAACTCAGGAATCACCCTGGTAGGGCTGGGAGGACCATATAAGATGTTAGGGATCAAATCCAGATAGGCCATATGCAAAGCAAGCACCCTACCCGCTGTACTGACCCTCTGACCCCCCTATTACACTATTGATTTTGGATTCAGAGTTGATGTTATATCTTCAGAAACCCTTTACTGTCACCTGATCCACTGGGACCCACAGTTTAAGCAGCTAGGATGTAAACAGCAGCTGGGGCCCAGGGATGTGCTCAGAGGTAGAGTGCCTGCCTTGCAGACAAGAGATTGTGGATGTGGTCCTCAGCACTGCCTCACCTCACTGAGTGTGTCCACTGTGCCATCCCCTGCGAGCACTTCAGTCAAGAGTGTGCGGTGAGCACTGCCTCCAGTTATGGGCCTCCTGGACGTTGCAACAACAAAGGGAGGGGAAGAGGAAAAAAGAAATTGGATGTCAAGCAGTTATAAATCTATAGTTAGAAACAGATAAATTATAAAGCACTGTAGCACTGTCCTCCCATTGTTCATCGATTTGCTCGAGTGGGCACCAGTAATGTCTCCATTGTGAGACTTGTTGTTACTGTTTTTGGAATATCGAATATGCCACAGGGAGCTTGCCAGGTTCTGCCGTGCGGGCGGGATACTCTTGGTAGCTTGCCGGGCTCTCTGAGAGGGACGGAGGAATCGAACCCGGGTCGGCTGCATGTAAGGCAAATGCCCTAACCACTTATCTTTTAAAATGTATAAGTAGGGCCAGAGAGCAATAATAGGGGTAAGGCACTTACCTTGCATGTGTCGGGCTGGGTTCAATCCTTTTTTTTTTTCTTTTTGGGTCATACCTGGCGATACACAGGGCTTACTCCTGGCTCTGCACTCAGCAATTACTCCTGGTAGTGCTTGGGAGACCATATGGGATGCTGGAAATCAAACCCAGGTTGGCTGCATGCAAGGCAAATATCCTACCCACTGTGCTATTGCTCCAGTCCCAGGCTGGGGTTCAATCCTTGATGCCACACATGGTCCCCTAAGCACCGCCGGAGTGAACCCCGAGCACAAAGCCAGGAGTAAGCCCTGAGCACTCATGGGTATTGCCCTCTTGCTGCCTCCAAAATGTGCAAATGATAGCTGCATCCTAAATGCCAAATTGAAACACCTAAATGCTGTTTTAATTTGGGGAGATTCATTTTGAAAGATTCATTATTGATCCCAGGTTAGCAGTTGTGTGACTTATGAACTGTGGTGGAAGCAAAAGAGGGAATCTTAAATCTAGCATCTTTTTGTTTTGCTTTTCTAAATTGAGGATGTCAGGCAAAGAGATTGGAGAAGAAACCCTCCGTTTATTGGGACTGTGATAAGATATCCTCGGTTTATTGGACTGCTTATTGGGTCTGTGACTAAAATCTGCTCCAGTAGAGTGCCCACACTTTGCTTGCTGGAGATCAGGAGCTTCTCAAGCGAGTGTGAGCCAGGCGAGTTCATTTGGAATTTTTGTTTGTTTTGGGACCATATCTGGCAATGCTTGGAGCTTACTCCTGGTTCTGTGCCTGGGCTTATTCCTGGCAAACTCAGGAGATCATAGGGATTGCTGGTCATTGAACTCAGGTCAACTGATGCAAGACAAGCACCTTATCCTCTGTACTATCTCTCTAACCCCCGTATGGAGTTAATTGGCACCATAACAGAGGTGTGCAAGACCTGATGTAATGCCACCAGGTTTGTGAACCTCCAGTCTTAACAACAACAAAATTAAGTGAGGGAAATTTTTTGGAAGGTTGGGGGAGCAGGGAGGGCCACATCTGGTGGTCCTCAATGGTTCCTCCTGGTTCTGCACTAAGGTATCACTCCTGGCAGTGTTCAGGGGATCATACAGGATGCAAGGATCAAAACTGGGTTGGCTGTGTACAAGGCAAGCGCCCTACCCACTGTACTGTCACTCCAGCCCCAGGAAGAAATGTTTAAAAGAAGTTTATTGTCATCATTTTTCACTGGTCGTAGTGCAAACAGAGATCTTGTAGTTATTATAAATGAGTTCTGTTTTTAGGATTCTGTGCTGAAAAAAAGTGAGTGTTGAAATAGATGAAATTCTGTTAAAATTGTCACAATATTGTCATAAATAAAGTTACAAGCTAAATGATGAGCTGATACCAGAATCAATGCCCCAACTCTAATAGGAATTTTGTTGTAAATGAAGCAACTCTGTTTCTCTTTTGCTCTCCCTCCCCCTCACGGTCCTCCCCCCACAGCTCTCTCTGTCTCTCTGTCTCTGTCTCTCTCTGTCTCTGTCTCTCTCTCTGTCTTTCTCTCTCTCTCTCTCTCTCTCTCTCTCTCTCTCCTATCTCTTTTGTTTTGGGGCCACATTGGGTGGTATCACTGTATCACTGTCACCCTGTTGTTCATCGATTGTCTCGAGCAGGCCCCAGTAACGTCTCCTTCGTCCTAGCCCTGAGATCTTAAAAAGTGCCACATTCGACGCTCTTTCAGGGTCAGGAGAATGAGACCCATCATTGTTATTGGATGGTGCTTAAGGCTTAATCCAGGCAGTGCTCAGGGCACAGTGTGATTGAACATTGGTCTGCCATGTGCGAAGCCAGTGCCCTATCTGCTGTACTATCTCTTGCCCAAAAGCAAGTCTCTTACCCTGGGTTCTTGTTACAGCCAGTCCTGCCCGATTTGTGACCGTAGAAGAACTTCTAGAGACAGTGAAAGGAATGACTAACATGGCTCTCGCTCATGAAATTGTAGTAAATGGAGATTTTCAGATTAAACCTGTTGATTTACCGGAAAACAGGTAAGGTGTTTAGCTTATCTGGCCAAACACTGCCAGTTCTGGAAATGTTTCCTTTACTTGATGTCAAAATGTTCAATTTTCTTTTTCTTTTTGAATGTTGCTGCTAGAAACTATCCCTACCTCAGGAATTAGTAGAGTTTTAAAATGTATCTCAGGCTGGAGAGATGGTGCAGCAGGAAGCACCTTGCCTTGTACGTGACTGACCTGGGTTTGATCCCTGGCACCCCATAATGGTTCCTTGAGCCTGCCAAGAGAGTGGTCTCGAGTGGAAAGCCAGAAATAAGCTCTGAGCACAGCAAGGTGTGGCCCCCAAAGCATATATATATGTATATATACACATATATAAAATATAATTTTAATACAATCAAATAATTTAATATTAAAATAATTTATTTTAATATTTATTTGCCAATGTTTATCATTATTTAATTAAATGATTTAATATTAAACTTAAATTACAATTAGATATTAAATATTTAAAATAGTTAAACATTAAATTTCAGTTAAACTTTTACTACTTAATATTACTTTTCAGTATTTATTTAATTTAATAATATTAACATATTTAAAATATATATTAAAAGTATCTCAGAAACTTTAATACAATGTCTTGAGATGTCCTGTATAATCTTTTTTTTTTTTTGCGGTGGTTGGAGGTTGTTTTGTTTGGGGGCCACACCTGGTGATCCTGGTGATACTCAAGGTTTACTCATGACTCTGCACTCAGGAATTACTCCTGGTCATGCACAATTGACCGAGTGAGGGGATCAAACCCAAGTCGGCCACATGCAAGGCAAGTACCCTACCGGCTGTGTTATCTCTCCAGCCCCTGAAAATCATTTTTAAAATTTTTTTAAAATTTTGACTTTTCCCCATGGAGAAGTTTGAACAAATACCTCTCTCTCTCTTCTTCAGCCCTTGCATTTCTCTAAATTTCATTCAGTAACAGCTAGCTTGCTTCACTAAATGTTAATTCAAAGAGAAAAATGTTAAAAGTTTAATCCATTTTGGGGCCATACCCTGCAGTGTTCAGGACTTACTTCTGGCTCTGTGTTCAGAGATCACTCCCGGCAGTGCTCAGGGTGCCAAATGGGGTCCCAGGCTCTGAAATGGGTCAGCCCCATGCAAGGCAAACACCCTCCCCACTATACTCACTTCCTGGCCTACCTGTGGGAATCTTGTATGTCAGCTTCTTCCTGCTCTGTAGGAATTAGCTGCTTCGTCTAGTGTTTTTATTTCATTCATTCCTTGTATTATGAACAAGGGAAGTTGTTGAGTTGTGTTTTCTTTATAGGATTGTAAACTCTATAAAGACAGTACTATGGGTTTTTCTCTGTGTCCTTACCACCTGGTATACATGTTGAATCTAGAACCATTTATTAAAAGAGACGAGAGAAAAAAAATAAAAATGTCTGTAAGGTGTGCCTGTTAAAACATATTGTCTTAAGAAAGATGTAATTGTTGCCTATTGTAACTGGAAAAATATCTTGAAAAAAATCATGGGCTGGGGAGATAGTTCAAGCGAAAAGGCTCCTGCCAAGCACGGACAAGGCCCTCAGTTCAGTCCCCAGCACCATATCCCAACCCCCACTGCCAGATGAAACTCTAAGAAATGACATGGGAAACACTGGGCGTCTATTACAAAGAAGGAATGACTGCTGTGTTGGCAAGCTAGAATGTTCTGGCATGAATTTTCAAAATACGATTATGGATATTACTTAGATGTTCTGGAAAGGATATATTTTCATGTTAATCATGGAGAATTGCTTGTTTTGCTTTCATGAATCAAAATTAGTTTTAATGAGCTGTTTTAAGTTGTTAGATAACTAATCAATTGTCCCATATATCATATAAAAGTAGGATATCTAATGGCATGGAAGGTGCAGCTGGCAATGCTCTGGGGCTACTCCTAGCTCAGTGCTTGGGGGTCCCTCCTGATAGTGACCGGAGGTCAGACCTCAGCCTCCTGCATGGACGCATGTGCTCCAGACCTTTAAGTTATCTCTACAGTTGGAAAATAGAATGTTTTTATAACAAATACCTTAGGAAGTTTGCCAGTGGCAGGGAATGATACTAAATAAGTAAATAACTATATAATGTTCTTTATCATGATAGTTTTATATATTTGCTGTTAATTGCATTTATGTCTTCTCATGTCGGATTAGTTAAAAGTTATTATTTCCAGTGGTGTGCTTGCCGAGATAAGTTTGTCACTAAAAATAAGGTATGTAATTGCTTTAACTATTTCTGAAAAATCATTTTTTCACCCAACTTATTTGAAAACTTTCTCACCCTAAATACAAAGAATTTGTGCTTTTGAAAGTGATTTGTTGTTCAACTATTTTCCCTTTTTTCCCCCTTTACCTCCAGCTTAAAGAAGAGAGTAAAGGATATTGTCCATAAGGCATTTTGGGATTGCTTGAGTCACCAGTTAAGTGAAGACCCCCCAACCTATGACCACGCCATCAAACTCGTTGGAGAGATCAAAGAGGTGAGGAGGAGGGCAAAGGGAGGGCTTCTCTGTTGTGCTACAAGTGGGTCTCTATGTTTGGGGGCCACACCTGGCAGCGCTTAGGGTTGCCCTGGCTCTGTGCCAAGTACATTCCTGCCGGGCCCAGGGGGCCATGCTAAATGGTGTACCAGGAGTCCAGCCCAGTGGGCCACGTGCAGGGCCAGCACCTTGCCTGCCCTGCTTACCTCCCTGGCCCCTGGAAGCAGTTCTCAATCCTCCTTTGTTACTGTGCCAGGAGACTAAAGAAATTGAAGATCTGATTAGATTTAACCTTGAGACTATGCTGGGTTGACTGTAGGATAACATCGGTTTGTCCTTTCTCCCGGGGTGGGGGAAGCGGAGACCACCGAACATGGGCGGTGAGAGAGAAGGAGCACCGCGGCCCTTAGAAAATGCAGTTGACCACTCCTGTGTCAAGTTGTCGGTCTCAGGGAAAGCTCAAAAAGACTCTGATCAAGGAGAGAAAGGTTTTCATTACAAATGTGTATAATAAAGTCTGTGAATAAATTAGAAGCTCCATACATCTAGTCTGCATGATGACTCTATCATGATCTGGTTTTAAGGTTCCAGTAGTTTTTGTTTTTTGAAGGAAAAAAATGGGGGTTTTATTTAGAAATTTTGAGGGGATGGGGGGAGAGAAAGAGAGAGAGTAGTGTGCTGAAGAAACAATGTAGGGGCTGGAGCGATAGTCCAGTGGGGAGGAAGGAGTTTGCCTTGTGCACAGCTGACCCGGGTTCGATCCCCAGCATCCCATATGTTCCCCCAAGCGCCACCAGAAGTAATTCTTGAGCACAGAGCCAGGAGTAACCCCTGAGCATTTCTGATATCGGTGGACCCCCCCAGGTGGCTCAGGAGGAGAAAGACACTTTCTCCCGATCTGCCTCTGCCACCCGGTACCCAGGATTACTGGGTTCTTGTCTTGCTCACAGAAAAGAATTTCAGGAGTAGACAAGCAGACTTGAAGTAAACAGATTTTATTTAGAGGGTCTTTGAAAGGAAGGAGGAAAGGGAAAGTGAGAGAGAGTGGAGAGTAAGAGAGACAGAGCAACGCCCTCAAGAGAGAACGTGGACTCCTCCAACAGCGAAGAGAGCCCCTACACATACCCCACCATTAGATAGGAAAGCAAATCATACACATCTCAACAGGGGAGATGCGGGTAACACATGTGCTCAGGTGCTGCATGTGCTAGGCCACATTTGTGCAAGCAGCACACGGCCTCAGGCAGCACTTGCTCACCCTTCCTTTGTTCAAGGTGGCTTTTATAGGCTCTTCCCAGGTTGTCTTGATCCAGAAGTTCTGGAGTCTTCTTGGGGCTGGACCACAATTTTAATCAGATTAAGGGAGAGGTCCGAGAGTTTGAGGAACTTTATGGGGAGGGGTCCAATCTCCTCAGGGTCTGCTGAAGGTCTTATCAAGTCTGTTTTCTGTATCCACAGGGTGGATCAGTCTTAGGATTTCCTCCTAGAAGTTCTGTTGACCTAAGTTTTATTGCCATGGGCCTTTCCCTGTCTACCTGCCTTACATCATTTCCAGTTGTGACCCCCCCCATCCAAGGAGCCCCCCACCCCCGCCAAAAGCCAAAAAGAAAAAAGAAGAAAAGAATGTGGGTATTTCCAGAGATGGAAAGAGCCCCTGTACACATCCCGGTGTTCAAATGTGAAAGTGTGAAAGTACATGAGATGAGAGGGGTGATGCAGGCAACACATGCTCGGCAAGAGCACACAGGCATAGGCAGCACATGGGCCTAAGGTTCAGCAAGGAACGAAAGACTGAGCACACATTTGAGCCAAACTTAAATGATAATTTAACCTTGAGCCACTAACATAAGTGATGGCAGAGGTGACGAGTCTCAGGCGTGTGCATTAGTTACTATCATATGGCAAATCATGGAAACGCTATGGCAAGAGACAATGTAATCTCAAACTCAGTGTCTGTCAGGAACTCAGAAGCATCCCTGCCAGAGCCTGGCCTTTGGGTCTAAAGAAGTAAGTTGCTGTGGCTTTAGAGACATCTCAAAGGTTGTTTGTTTATTTGTTTTTGTTTTTGTTTTTGTTTGCTTTTCGGGTCACACCCGGCAATACTCAGGGGTTACTCCTGGCTCTGCACTCAGGAATTGCTCCTGGCGGTGCTGGGGGGGGAGGGGGCACCATATGGGATGCTGGGAATTAAACCGGGTTGGTCGCATGCAAGCCAAAAGCCCTACCTGCTGTATTAGCGTATTATCACTCCAGTCCCCCCAAAGGTTTTTGTTGTTGTTGTTTTTGTTCTTTAACACATAACAGCCTAGAGAGGTTCTCTCTGAGCTCTTAGGAGCTCAGTTTAGAAGACCTGCAAAATGGCTTTATGGAAGTTAGGCTGCAGAGTTAGGCAAAAACTCTCTAGGACTTCGTTTTGAAGATCATATGGCAGGCTTTCCGTTATACTCTTGGTCACATCAGACATCGAAGGTCCAGTCCTAGCTCCAGGGAAAAGGAACAGAGAACATTTTGCTGGGTGGAGGGCTCGGCAAACAACTTAATCTCTCTAGCCCAGGTTCATGTTTTTAAAAGCATGATTAAATAAAACAAAAATTATTTCACAAAATATAGGTGATTGATAAAATTTTTCGTAGGTCTGGACACATTCAGTTTGGCCAAAAAGTTAGTTCATATTTAAATAAAAAAGTATATTTATAGTATAATATGCCAATGTATATAAATAAATAAAACTACTTAAATAAAAAGGGACTTGAGACTGATTACACTAAATTAGACTGGGTTTTAATTCAAAGACAAATTCAGAATTTTTCCACATATGTGCACATACAAATCACCTGGGTTTTTTTCTGAAATGTAGGTTCTGACTCATTAAACCTGGATGGGACCTGGGAGTCTGCATTTCAGACAAGCGCCCCCAAAAGTCCTACATTGGACAGCAAGATCATTTGTTTCAATCTTACTATTTCACTTGAATTCACCACTGAATAAAAAAATTGCCTTTGATTACAAAAAAAAAAAGTTCAGTTTTGGGGGAGGCATTAAGATAGGACTGTTTTTGCAGTGTTCTATCAAAGTAATGACTGTGATAGATATCACTGCTCCCAGGATCACCTTAATGAACCTGGTTTCCTTGTCTTGGCCTGGAGCTCCTTCATGCCCTTGGAGCAGTTCCCTCTCACTTTTAAACGTTTTTCCTTGTTGGCACATTCCACTCTGGAATCACCCACATCCCAACTTGGGGTGTGTAACTCCTTTCTTTTTCTTTATGGCATTCCCTTAGGTCTAGTGGGCCTGGAAATGAGCTTTTGGGAAATAATAAAATTTAAGAAAATGGTGCATCCCTGAAGTAGCCCAAAGGCAGGAGGACCACATGCCTTTGAAATGCAAATCCTGAGCTCTTTGGATAAACTGAGGCATCACCCTAAGGTAAAAATCTGAGGTTCCACCCAGAGACCCCACCAAGATAGACCTCTCAGGAAAGGAAAAACTACAGGAGAGTCTAAAAATCCTCTATGCCCCCCACGCCCCAGAAGTAGGAGAGCTGAAACAGGTTCTACCACCACTAAGGAGTAATTTCTGAGCATAGAGCCTGGAGTAACACCAGAGCATGGTTGGGTGTGGCCCCCAAACCCAAAAATAAATAAATAAATAAATAGATAGATAAATAAATAAATAAGTGTCCTGGTAAGAAGGTGAAAGGACAAGCAGTAGTGCAAGGGTTTTTCATGACTGCAGCCAGATTGATTTTTATGTATATGGAGATCTCCATGCCTGACAGTTGGGAGGAATTGTGTATAATCTCCCCAAAACTATTCCAAGCTTTTTTTCCCCCAAGCCCGAGTTCTCTTTTGAACACCTCTCTCTTTGTCTCTCTCTCTCTCTCTCTCTCACACACACACTCTCTCTCTCTCTCTCTCTCTCTCTCTCTCTCCCTCCTCACTCTGTCCCTCCCTCCTTTTGCCTCTCCTCTCTTCTCTATGAATCTACTCTAAATGTCTTTTAATAAAACTATTCTACTTCACTGTTCTGCCACCTCCTGAAATTCTTTTCTGTGAGGGCAGGCAAGGGACCTGGACCTCCTGTGCCAAGCTGAGGACTGACTTGCCTTTGCTGCAAAGAGCAATTTGAGCCTGAGCCCACAACTCCCTCAGGAACACCGGTGGTAGGTGGTAGGATCATTCCCCAGCCCGTGCAGGACAAGTGAATTTCAGGTGCAGCTCGACGGCTGCCTCCTGGAGCTGGAGGCCGTGTGTGCTTGTGCAGAGTAGGTGTTCGGAGTGGATTTTACCAGCCCTGACCCACACCAGGTGTTTGGGTGGCCAAGGTGGGCGGAGCAGATAGACGGAAGTAACCGTTTTCTCAAGAATGCGTCCCCCGCTCTCCACGCTACCAAGCCACCTGCGACAACTGGAAGATGAAGTGGCTCGTCTGATTCCCAAGCATGCTTTTCCGTAGATTTGTTCAATAAGAGGTTAAATGAAATACGTGAAACATTACAGTAACTGTGGGCAAGCCTTTCTTTGGAGAGTTGTAAATTCTAAGAGGAAAGAATGCCTGACTCAAACCCTGTGATTCAACCTGGCTGTGCTGTCTTCCAGACTCTCTTATCTTTCTTGCTGCCTGGCCACACTAGACTGAGAAACCAGATAACAGAAGTCTTGGATCTGGATCTGATAAAGCAGGAGGCCGAGAATGGGGCCTTGGACATTTCCAAGCTGGCAGAATTCATTATTGGCATGATGGGGACACTGTGTGCACCTGTTCGAGATGAGGAAGTTAATAAACTAAAGGACATTCAGGAAATAGTGCCCCTTTTCAGGTATGGGGATTATGTTAATCACCTTGGCTGTGCCTACAGTACAGAGCCTTTCAGTTTTTCTTAGTGATTTTTGGGGGTTTTGGGGGTGGGGGTAAGGGTGGGTCACACTTGGCAGTGGTCAAGGGCTACACTCCTGCCTCAGGGTTTGGGGGTTGTTCCCACAAGAGGGATTGAACCCAGATTTCCTGCATGCATAGCATGTCCTCCATCCATGGGTCTCTCTCTCTGTTTCTCTCTCTCTCTCCCTCCTTCTCTCTCTCTCTCTCTCTCTCTCTCTCTCTCTCTCTCTCTCTCTCTCTCTCTCTCTCTCTCCCATCCCCCTCTCCAGCCTCACAGTCTATTTGCAATTTTAAATTTCCTTAAGTTTAGGTACTCATGCATTTAAAAATATATTGATATGTAGAAGGAAAATACTGACCATGATTTTATACCCCAGGGCACAAGTCCTATGATTCTGTTTCTATATGAATGCATGCATGCATTGTCGGGGCTACTCCTGGGGTTCTGGGGGATGAGCAGGACCACACCCAGCACTGCTCAGAGGACTTGCATGCCTTGGCTCTTACCCAGAGGATGTCATACATGTCACACATGCAGGGCTCTACTGCCTGAGCCACATCATGGCTCATTTTATTTCTCAACACTTTATTATTTTTTATTCAGTTTTAATTTGGGGGCCACATCCATCAGTGCTCAGGGCTTACCGCTGCCTCTGCACTCAGGATCACTCCTGACAGAGACTTGGAGAGCTATATGGGGAGCTGGAGATTGACCCCCCCAGTTGGCTGTCTGCAAGGCAGGCATCCTACCCATTGTACTATTGCTCCAGCCCTCTCAACATTTTAAAAAATATTACAGTGGGGCTGGAGTGATAGCACAACAGTTAGGGCATTTGCCTTTCATGCAGCCAACCCGGGTTCGATTCCCAGCATCCCATATGGTCCCCTGAGCACCGCAAGGAGTAGTTCCTGAGTGCAGAGCCAGGAGTAACCCCTGTGCATCCCCAGGTGTGACTCAAAAAGAAAAAAGAAAAAAAAATTACAGAAAAGTTAAAAAAATGGCATGAATATGTAGTATCTTTTGCATAAATCTAATAGTTTTGAACAATTTTGTCAATTTGCTTTGTCTTTTACTCTATCTGATTATGTACATATGAATATATATATATATATCCATAGGAATATGTATTTCCCCCTGAGATTTCTGAGGATTAGTGGCAGACATGGTGATGCATCATCCCGAAATATCTTAGCAAATACCTCCTATGAATGGGAACATTCTCTTACATAACTAAAATTAAAAATATGCAACAAGCAGTTGCCAGAATCCATATTAAGTTCCTGTAGTCTTTTAAATATATCTATTAGTATGATCAAATTTATATAAATTTTTGTCCTGATATGGAAAAAAAAAATTTTAGGATGCCATGCTCGTAAGATTTGTAGGATGTCCTACAGTGTGTAGGATGTCTGCCTTGAATGCATCTAGCCTAGGTTCAATCGCTGGCATCCCATACAGTCCCCAAAACCCACCAGGAGTGATTCCTAAGTGCAGAGCCAGGATTATCCCCTGAGCACCACCAGGTATGCAACCCCCTGAAAGAAAACAAAACAAAAAACAGAAACAAAAAACCTCTGTTTATCCTCGAGAGAAAGAATAAGGGCATAGCCTTATTTGTTTTGATCTCAGATCCCCTAAAAAGGTCTTGGGAAACAGGATTCTGGGCTGCTGCTTGAGAACTGCTATGCATGACTGATCTCCTTCCTACCTCTGCATTTATTTTTATTTATTTATTTTTATTTTTTTATTTTTTGCTTCTTGGCTCACACCCAGCGATGCTCAGGGGTTATTCCTGGCTCTGCACTCAGGAATTACTCCTGGCAGTGCTTGGGGGACCATATGGGATGCTGGGAATCGAATCTGGCTTGGCCTCTCACAAGGCAAATGCCTTACCCTCTCTGCTTTCACTCCGGCCCCCTGAATTTGTTTTTAAAACTGTATAGCTCTCAGGGCCAGAGTGATAATACAGTGGACAGAGCACCACCGTGCACACAGCTGTCAGGCGTCAGCCCTGAACACAGCTGAGTGTGGCTCAGAATAAAAACAGAACAAAAAAGGGGGCCGGAGTGATAGCACAGCTGGTAGGGCGTTTGCCTTGCACGCAGCCGACCCGGGTTCAATCCCCAGCATCCCATATGGTCCCCCAAGCACCGCCAGGAGTAATTCCTGAGTGCAGAGCCAGGAATAACCCCTGAGCATCGCTGGGTGTGACCCAAAAAGCAAAAAAAAAAAAAAAAACAGAACAAAAAAGAATTGTCAGGGTGCTGGAGAGATAGTACAGCAGGTAGGGCATTTGCAAACGGCCTACCCATAACCCGGGTTCGATCCCCAGCATCCCATATGGCCCCCCAAGCACCACCAGGAATAATTCCTGAGTGTGGAACCAGGAGTAACCCCTGAGCATTGCTGTATATGGCCCAAAAAGCAAAAAAATTAAAAATAAAAAAATAAAAATTGTTAGGGCATCGATTTCACTTTTGATTGTGTTTAGTTCTGTTTTTTTTTTCTGTTTGCTTGCTTGTTTGTTTGGTAAACAGATAATCTATTAGGTATTGAATGCTTGTCCGCCCCTCTCAGAGAGCCCGGCAAGCTACCGAGAGTATTCAGTATGCCAGACACAGTAACAACAAAGTCTCCAATGGAGACGTTACTGGGCCCGCTCGAGCAAATCGACGATCAACGGGAGGGCCTTTACCTTTTTTTATTGAATGCTTGTAAGCAGCTTTGCTGCAGGAAAAATGAGCTTAAACTGGCCAATTTTATCGGAGCTAAAGGGAACTGCAACTGAACTATACTGAACTATAAACATTGAATTGGGGACTATCCATTCTCCAGTGGGGTGGCATTCATAACGGAACACGCTGACACACTGGGAGCCAGTCATTGAGCTGTTACAAAATATGCTGGGACATGAGGCCTTTCAGGCAGGTCGCTCCCTGCCGGACCAGCAAGCCCAACAAAACCAAACTATCATATGCCACAAATAATGTAATGTACTTTATCCAATTTCCTCCTAATGTTGATATTTTGTGAAACACAGTGTAACACAGCCTGGATATGGACTTTTTTTTTTTTTGAAAGTTTAGGGCCAGGGGCTGGAGTGATAGCACAGTGGGTAGGGCGTTTGCCTTGCATGTTGGCCGACCTGGGTTTGATTCCCAGCATCCCATATGGTCCCCCGAGCACCACCAGGAGTAATTCCTGAGTTCATGAGCCAGGAGTAACCCCTGTGCATTGCCGGGTGTGACCCAAAAGCAAAGAGTTTAGGGCCACACCTGACAGTGCTCAAGGAGATTGTACAGTTTGAGGGATCAACCCCAAGTCTCTTGCCCATTGGAGCATCTCTGAGTCCATTGTATTGACATGGTACAATCCACTGAAATATCCATTGTTGTTGTTTGTTTGCTTGAGGCCACATCCAGCAGTGCTCAGGGCTAACTCCTGGTTCTGCACTTCGGGGTCAATTCTGGCAGGGCTCAGGGGACCATTTGAGGTGCCAGGGCTGGAACCTGGGTCAGCTGCGTCTAAGTCAGGCCTCTCTCTCCACCCCCCCCCCGAGAGTCCTGTTTTATGTTTCTATCCCTATTTTATGCAGATTCCTATTTTACATGTATGTTGGTTAATAATTTTTACACGGTCTTATCATATCTGCCAGGGTATTCATCACCAAACTCAAGAGGCTGACTAGTTACAAAACCTTAAGGATATTGAAATCAGGTTATTATAAAGATTATGTAAATGGGATTGCTGTTTTTACTTATTTATTTGTGGTTTTTTAGGGCTGTTTTGGTGGTACTCAGGCCTTACTTCTGACTCTGTGCTCAGGAATCACTCCTGGCAGGGTTGGGGCACTGTAAGTGCTGGATGATCGAAGCCAGGTGGGCTATGAAAGACAAGTGTCTTACCCCTTGGTACAATCACTCCAGCACAAGTGGGCTTGCTTTAAAGTTAACTTACAGACACCAGACAGTTGACTAGAGAGAGCACTGCAAACCAGGGATTGAACCCAGGCCAGACACACATCTAGCCCATTGAGCTATCTCTCTGAACCCCTCTACTTTCTTTCGAAAATTATTTTTAAAATAGCTTTTCCTTAATTCACTTACTGATAACTTTCCTAATAGGTTTTCTCTACCTTTTCAGAATTTGAAAGACAATCTGAAGTCAGTTTACCTCTTCCTTGAAAACAGTTTACAAGTGCCCTTTTCTAAATTCTTTTCTCTCTTTTCTTTCAGAGCAATTTTTTCTGTATTGGACCTGATGAAAGTGGACATGGTGAACTTTGCTGTCAGTAGCATTAGGCCACATCTCATGCAGCAGTCAGTAGAATATGAAAGGACGAAGTTTCAAGAGCTTTTGGAGAAGCAGCCAAGTATGTTTAATTCCTTCTGGGTCTGACTGTGCTTTATCATTGTGGATCTGATTTTGGCTTGTTGCATAGTGATAGAGTTTTCTAGAAAAAATTAAAATTTAGTGATATATACCTAATTTGATAACAGAAAAGCACTAAAGAAAATGGACAAACAAAAATATAAATAAGCTATAAAAATTAAAATTAAGGGGACTGGAAAGATAGTACAGTGGGGAGGTTATTTGCCTTGCATGAGGCCACCCCGAGTTCAATCCCCAACATCTCATATGGTCTCCCAAGTTCCCCAACATCTCATATGGTACTCATTTACTTTCCTGGTGGTACTGTCCACCAGGAAAGTAAATCCCAAGTGCAGAACCAGGAGTAACCCCTGAGCATCTCTGGGTGTTGCCCCCGAGCCCCTCAAAAATAAAGATAATTAGAAAAAATGTTAATGGCAGTAAGAACAGAAAATATTGTTGCTCATGTTTGGTTTTTTTTGGGGGGGGGCTCTTATAGCACTCGGAGCTCACTCCTACTTCTGTACCCAGGGGTCATTCCTGGCAGTGCTGGGGAGACCATATGCAGTGCCAGGGATCAAACTACTCTTGGGGGCACATGAACAAACCACTCACCTCCTTTATGGTCTTTCCAGTCCCAGACAGAAATTTTTAGGCAAATTATCTGCGTGGTCTTCATTTTTAAAAATACCACAAAGTTCTTAGAACTGTTTAATTCACTTTGCTCCTTCCTATGAGGTAGATTTATTTTTTTAAAAAATCAGTTTGCTTCTATTCTATGTACATATGATTTCACATGCAGAAAAAGTGTTATTTTTATTACCTCTCAGATGACTCATCAGAAAACAGATGACGATAGGATCCAAAGTGACGGTGCATTTCTAGGGGCCCCATTTTGCCGCTGTACGGGCTCTGACATGCCAGGGAAAGCACAGCCTCCACGTCTGACAGTGTTGAGAGTGCAATACAGCCTCACACTGTGCTAATCCCACGTCAGACTTGGTGGAGACTCAGATGCCCCAGTGCTGGGGTCCTGAGCTTGTTCTTCCAGCCCTAACTAGAGGAATGTGAGATGGTGCTGGGGTCTGGAAGAAAGAGCAGAGAAGGAGCAGCAAGGGAAGAAGACAGAAGAATGTTTGCTGAGGGCACCAGAAGCCCAGGAGGCAAGGACTCACCTTTTTTTTTTTTTTTGTAATAATTTAGGTAATATGGTTACACTAGTGGTAAAGGTTTTATTTTTGGGATTTTTTGTTTGTTTGTTTGTTTTCTTTTTGGGTCATACCCAGCGATGCTCAGTGGTTACTCCTGACTCTGCACTCAGGAATTACTCCTGGCTCCTGGCGGTGCTCGGGAGACCATGTGGGATGCTGGGAATCAAACCCGGGTTGGCTGCGGGTTGGCCGCATGCAAGGCAAACGCCCTACCTGCTGTGCTATTGCTCCAGCTCTGTTTGTTTTTTGTTTTTTTGTATTTTTGCTTGTTTGTTTTGGGGCCACACCAAGCAATGCTCAGGAATTACTCCTCCTAGTGCTGGGGGGGGGGGACCATCTGGGATGCTGGGGATCAAACTGAGGTCAGCTGTATGCAAGGCAAGCGCCCTACCCACTGTACTATCACTCCAACCCCAGTGGTAAAGTTTATGGGACTGATATGCAAAGTTCCTGCCCCCACCCCCACTCAACTGTCTGTCACCCTCAGCACTCTTTGTCCCTGTGTCACCTTCATTCCAGCTTCATTCCCTCCCCTTACTGTCCAGTGATCAGTTTTGTAAGCCAAGGCTTGTCATTGTCCAATAGTAATCTAATCCCTTGCTTTGCATCTCTTTATATCACAGAAGAGTGAGTTCACCAGGGTATTTATCCTTCCCCCTCTGGCTTATTTAGCTTACCACTCCACCTTCCAGGTCCATCAGCCACGTCCCAGGGAACTGCAGGAATCTAGCTTTGATTACAGCTGTATTGTTTTCCAGAATGTAGAAACACCACAGCCTCTCTCTCTCTTTCTCCATTCATTTGTCTTGACATGCCACACAGGTCCTATTCCCAGCCAGTGTTGTTCGGCTCCTTGGGAGTTCTCAGAGTGGCGGCTTCATAAGCGCCTTGTAGGAGAGGCAGGTTGCTGGCTGCCAGCCACAGGACAGGATGCACCTCTGGAATGAGGTGTGCCTGCAGCCCAAGCCAGAGGTTGGCCATTATTTCTCATCCACGTACAAACTCAAGGTTCCCACACCGTGGGGCTGACAGCAGAAGGCTAAGGCAACAGCGGAGCTCAGAACCAGGAGCTCAGCGCTGCAGAGAGATGTCAGGTTGTCACGCCCCCTCCTGCATTGTGACAGGTGGATTCCAGCCAGGGCTTTGACTGTCCCCAGGCTTTTAAGAGGGTCTCTCCTGGCCACTCTGCAACACCATGCAGGGCCTCGGGGAAGCAGTTTTGTTGAGAAAATGTGAATAGACGCCTTTTTCTTGCATCCTTCAATAATGTATCCTCCTTGATCCATTACTCAGATTAGAAAGGGCAGGGGACGTGTGCACAGTTTACTCATCTGTGCCACTTTGTGTCAAGGTCAAAGCACACACTTTGCAGGAGACCAACCCACACCACATGGTCTCCTAAGTGTAGGCAGCTACTTCCTGAGTGGCCGGAGTGGGCACTACTTGGGGAAAACTTCCCTTCCCCTCTCTAGCCCATATCCCCAGAAGAATACAGAAGTAAGGGGAGTCTGATGGTGGATGAAAGTCAACTGAGGGGTCCCCCGCCAGGAGAAAATGCTGCTTTCTACATGCTAGATGTTTGACAGCTTAACCTTGCTCGCACATACAGAAAGCAATCCAGAGTAGGCCAGAGCCAGAGTACAGCAGGGAGGACACTCGCGTTGCTGACTAGGATGGATCCCTGGCACTCCACACGTGCCCTCAAACACCCCCAGAAGTGATCCCTGAGTGCAGAGCCAGGACTAATCCCTGAGAGCTGTTGGGTGTGGCCCCAAAACAGAAGTTAAAAATAAAATATAAAAAAAAAAGATCTAGACAAGGAAGATCTTCCTCTTCAGCAAGGAGGCTGAGTCACACTGGGAAGCCCTAGCCAGTGTCTCTGACAGAAATGTTTGTCATCTCACAGAGCTGGACTTATTTATCAGCGCCATGGGGTGGCCACAGTGGGGACGGGAGGGGAGGAAAAAGGGAACAAAGCTCCAGTGAACCTTGAGGGGGGTGCAAACCCTGGCCGAATGTTGGTGCCACAGCTCCCCCACCCCCCAGGCCTGTGAGTATGTTTCTCCACACCGAGACTCCAGCAATGAGGCAGAGCTCCACATGCCTCAGATCACACTTCGCGCCCTGGGCCTGACTCGATTTGAGCCGAGTTCTGTTTGACTCCAGAGTCCGTTCTCTAGACTCCCACACCCTCCTGGAGGATGGACCCTCACGTCATTCTGAGGTGCATCCCCATGGAGTGGCGTCATAAGGAGCCAGCCTTGTTTTTCAGACGCACTGGACTTTGTCACCCAGTGGCTCGAAGAAGCTGCAGATGACCTCATGAAGCAGAAGGGTAAAAATGCCCTGCCCGCCGCAGGAGGGGCTGCCGGCCCCCAGGATGCCCCGTCACTGAGTCCCATCACTGTCCAGAACCATGCGTACCTCAAGCTTCTGAAATGGGACCACGGCCAAAGACCCTTCCCTGAAGTAAGTTTCTGGGCCCATCCCATGGCCTGTTTCTTTCTGGATCTCTGAATTTTCAAAAAAATAAAAAATCATGTTGTTATGTTCTAATTCACATCCTGGAAAACTCCTCATTTTCCGTCAGCCCCGCCCTCCTCCACCTCCCGTCCACCTCGAGTCTCCCTTCAGTCTCCAGGGATCCGACTGTTCTTGGCCCCTGAGGATGAATCATGCTGTTTGTCCTTTGGTGACTGGCGTCTTTTGTTCAGCGGGACATAGTCCGAGTTGGTGCTGGGGCAGGTGCTAGACTTGCTTTCCTCCGTAGGCCACTTGACAGTCACGAGGTGATGAACGTGTGGGTTGTGACTGTTGTGAATCGTGCATGTCTGTGCACCATTTTTTTTTCCTTTTGGGCCACACCCAGCGATGCATAGGGGTTACTCCTGGCTTTGCACTCTCCCTGGTGGTGCTCGGGGGATGCTGGGTATTGAACCTGGGTTGGCCATGTGCAAGGCAAATGCCCTACCCTCTGTGCTATCGTTCCAGCCACCCCTGTACACCATTTTTAAGCATAAGTTTCGATTAATAAATTTTCATTTCTCCGGGGCATGTATGTGTGGAGGTAGGATTAGAATTGCTGAGTCATGTGGTGACTCCTCATTTTCACATTTTGCAGAACTGGCAAGTTGTTTCCCAAGGCCACTGCCTCGTGTGACAGCCCTACCAGCATGACCCCGGGGGGTTCCTATTGCTGCTGAACTTCTATCCATTTTTTTTTGAATTTCAAGTGCTATGATTTATAATCCTGTTACCATGACTTACAGTACCCTTACATTCCTTAGATACAGAGCTGCCATACCACCGCCTCCAGCAGTGTCCAGTCCCCCCCCACCAGGGTCTCAGTTCTCCCCCAGACTCCTCCTCTCCCTGCCCCTTGGTAAACTCAGTGCTTAGAGCAGGGCTCAGATCCTGTTACTGTCTCTCACCCAGTTGACTTCAGTCAGCATGATCCCCTCCACTTCCATTCACATTTCAATTTGAATTGCAGGATTTTGTCTTTTCTTACAGAGGAGTAGCACTGTAGTACTGTTCATCGATTTGCTCGAGCCGGCACCAGTGACGTCTCCAATGTGAGACTTGTTGTTACTGTTTTGGGCATATCGAATACACCACGGTGAGCTTGCCAGGCTCTGCTGTGCTGGCGGGATACTCTCAGTAGTTTGTTGGGCTCTCCGAGAGGGATGGAGGAATCGAACTCGGTTCGGCCACGTGCAAGGCAAACTCCCTACCCCCTGTGCTATCACTCCAGCTCACCACCCCCATCCGGGAAGCAAAACCGCAAGAGATTTCCTTGGCGGGGGCGGGAGGAGGGGGGGAACAACTCTCTCTGGAGTCGCAGTATAAGGGAAGATATAAGCAACCCAAGGACATGATAGGTGGAGCGTCAGGTCTGCAGAGAAAGTCCAGCCGCATTTTGAGGAGTCCAGCAGAGCAGAGTGGTCAAGATCCCGGGCTCTGGGGCAGCCCTCAGCTCAGCAGCTCCTCTCACACCAGCAGAGGGTCTGCCCTCCCCGAGGGCCAAGGCCTGAGTCACTTCTAGGAGGAGCGGAACTCCAAGTCTCTGTCTGTCTGTCCAGTGGGGACGCCAAGATTAGAGGAGCTGGACACGCAGAGCCCCACAACTCCAATTCCAGGACTATCCACGCATTCTTTGTCCTGCAGCACCTCACAGAAGGAGGCCTCCTGAGCACCACTTTTGGGGTGCTCATCATTTGCCAGAGGTCACGGGGCTAATAAAATAGCACGGCCAGACCTGGAGCCTGGCCCAGTGGGAGTCCAGGGAGGAAGAGGCTGCAGAGCAGGAGGCAGGAGGGAAGGGCAAAGTACAAAGGCCAGAGATCTCGGGCTCCTTCGCCTCTCTCCAGCCCCATCTAGCCCAGGCCGCCGGGGCCTGTCGGGGAGTTGTGAGTATATTTATCTTAGTTTCTTTATCCAGTCAGCGGTTCTTGGATACTTGTTTCCAGATTTGGGCTACCATGAGTAGTCCTGCAATGAAAATAGGAATGCAAATCATTTTTGAATAGAGTTTTGTGTTTGTGTGTGGTTTGGGGCGGTGGTGGAGGCACAGTTGGTGGTACTCGGGGCTGACTCCTGGCTTTGCACTCAAGGATCATTCTTGGCAGTCCTTGGGGGACCGTATGTGGTGCCAGGGGTTGAACCTGGGTTGGAAGGCAAGCACCCTACCTGCTACACCGTCTCTTAAGTCCTAAGTAGAGTTTGGGGGCTCTTGGAGCAGATTCCAAGAAGTGGAATTGCTGGATAATATGGAAGCTCAATTCTTAGTTTGATGAGAAGTGTCATATTGTTTGCCCAAAGAGTTGAACCCATCAACGTTCCCACCAGCAGTGAATGAGGGTGTCTTTCCCCGTACCTATACCCGCACTGGTTGTTTTTGTTCTCTGTGATGTGTGCCAGTCTCACTGGTGTGAGGTGAGATCTCATTTCTTTTTATTGTGGTATTGGCTTTGGTTTTGTTGAAGAGGGCCACACTCAGCGTGCTCTGAGTTTACTCCTGATGGGGCTTGGCAGGAGGTCATGTGAGATGCTAAGGATTGAACTCAGGTTGGCTGCGTGCAAGGCAAGGCAAGCACTTCCACCCACTGTACTATCGCTCTGGCCTTATATCTCATTTCTATTCTGCTTATATTCATCTTCATTAAAATTACTTCACTGAGTCTGCCTTTGTTTATCTAAAGAAACTTCTTCCTTTTCTCTGTGGAGCAGCGTGTTTTTCTGTGTATGTTTTGGGAACTACAGTAAGTGCTCCTAACTGTGGACATCCTTTAAAAGATGACTCATGGGACCAGAGTGATAGTATAGCAGGTAGGATGCTTACCTTCTTGTGACCAACTGGGGACAGTCCCCAGAACCCCATATGGTCTCCGGGCCCCACCAGGAGTGATCCCTGAATGCAGAGCCAGTAGTAAGCCCTGAGCACAGCCAGGTATGTTCCCCCTGCCCCCCATAAAAAAATAATGACTAATGAGGGAGTCCCCTGTTTGTCTGCACATCACTGGTTTGGTGGGCAGACTTCCCCTCTTTTGGTAGGGCACACAGACTCCTAACCTCTGGCCTCAAATCCTGCTACTTCTCTAAATAGCATTTTTTTTCCATCCAAGTTCCTTATTTTTTCTTTATAAGATGCTATAAACTGACGGTTTCACATCTTGCCTTTGTGCCAGGGGCAGAGGCTTTAATTCACAGCGGGTGTGAATTGGAGGAAGGAAGGTTGGGGGGTGGGGAAGGGTGTGTGCTTCTGCTCTGGATAGTGGAATGCTGGGAGGGTAGTTCTTTTCCCGACATTGCTCTTCAAAACCCACTTGTGGGGCCAGAGAGCTGGCTCAGTGGACCGAGCCTGCGCTTTGCAGGCAGGAGGCCCAATTCCATCCTGCAGCCCACATGGTCCCCTGAGCACTGCCAGGCCCGACCTCTGAGCAAAGAGCCAGGAGTAGCCACTGAGCATCGATGAGTGTGGCCTCCAAATTGGAAACAAGGAAACAAACAAACAAAAAAAAAAACTCCTGACAGTGGTGGCCCTAAAACACACACAAAAATTTTTATAAACAAATGACAGGAGACCCTGCATTTATTTATTTGTAAATTATTTGGGTCTTGGGGCCAGAGTGATAGTACAGCTGGTAAGACTTTTGCCTTACACTCGGCCGGCCCAGGTTCAAGCCCCAGCATCCCATATGGTCCCCTGAGCACCACCAGGAATGATTCCTGAGTGCATGAGTCAGGAGTAACTCCTGGGTGTGACCAAAAAAAAGCCAAATAAATAAATTTTTTTAAAAAATTGGGTCTGGGTCACACCTGGAGGTGCTGGGGGGTGGGGGTAGGGGTGTGATGGGGGATTTATTCCTGGTCCTGGGCTCATGGATCACCCCTGGCAGAACTCGGGGAACCCTATGTGGTGCCTGGGATAAGTCAAACCGGGATTGGCTGCCTGTGAGCCAGGCGCTTTCTGTCCTACAGTCTCCGGCCCCAGACCTGGATTCACTGCCAGGCTCGTGTTCTCAGTGTTCTGCTGCCTCCTTTCTCCGGAATGGGGGAGCGAGGGGAGGCACCCACGCTGCTTTATTTTTTATTTATTTATTTAAATTTTTTATAGTTGTAGACTTACAAATTTTTGTGCTTGGGTTTCAATTATACAAAGATCAAATACCCATCCCTAGAGCTCAGGCAGGGCGGGAAAATCTTCCGGGATGTTCAGGTGGAGGCAGGTATGCTGACTGAGGCCCCGGCGCCCTCTGCTGGCTGTCCCGAGAGCTGCAGCTCCGGCTGACGGGCCCCTGTGCTTCTTTCAGACCGTCCTGATGGACCAGCCCCGTTTTCAAGAGTTCCAGCTCCAGCTGGAGCACCTGAGCCTCATGGGGGCTGTGCTGCTGGTCACATTCAACGCGGCAGGCTCGGGGATCTCCAGCCAGGCCGACTTCGCCGAGAAGCTCAAGATGATTGTGAAGATCCTTCTCACAGACATGCACCTGCCGTACGTCATGGGGGCCGTGGGGAGAACCGTCCAGGGGGAGGGTGGCAGCCGCCGAGGGCAGAGTGGGTGCAGATGGAAGAGGTTCTCTCAGCAGCAGGCAGACTCTGGCCACTGCCCAGGAGCCAGAGGCGACCGTGCTCTCTGGCTCCACTCCCACAGGGGTTGAAAGGACACACTTTTACACATACATAACAGAAAAAACTTCAGAGTGGGATTATTTTTTAGAGTTCATAAAATTGTCATAATTTATTAGCACTGTAACACTGTCCTCCTGTTGTTCATCGATTTGCTTGAGCGGGCCCAGTAACGTCTCCATTATGAGACTTGTAACGGTGTTTGGCATATTGAATACATCACAGGTAGCTTGCCAGGCTTTGCTGTGCAGGCGAGATACTCTGTAGCTTGCCGGGCTCTCTGAGAGGGGCGAAGGAATCGAACCCGGGTTGGCCCGGCCATGTGCAAGGCAAACGCCCTGCGGCTGTGCTATTGCTCCAGCCCAGTCATAATTTCTTATAAATCCATATTTATTTATTCAATCACTGTGAGGTAGACCTTTACAAAGCTGTTCATGTTTGGGTTTCAGTTATAGTGTTCCAACATCCATCCCCCCACCAGTGTACATTTCTTCTCTCTCTCTCTCTCTCTCTCCTTTTGGGTATTGTGGTTTGCTATACAGATACTGAAAAGTTATCAGGAATATTGCTTTACCTACTTTTAACACTCAGTTCTTATCTAGTGTCATCATCTCCAGATTTTATTGTCATGCTGATCCCTTCACAGAGTGGCACTTGACTGTACTTAATGCATATCAATATTATTATTTGGGGGGGGGGGGGGTTACACAGCTGACAGTGCCCAGGCCTTATTCTCCTGGGGTTTTTTTGGGTTTTTTTTTTTTTGGATTTGGGCAATGTCTGGTGATGCTCAGGGCTTACTCCTGGTGGCTCTGTGCTCAGGAATCACTCCTGGCGATTCTCAGAGGATCATAGGGCATTCTGGGGATTGAACCCATGTACAAGGCAAGCACCCTACCCACTGTATTATCTCTCCAGCTCCCCTACTAATATTTTAACTTATTTATTTGGATTTTGGGCACACCCAATGGTGCCCAGGACTTATTCCTGGGTCTGTGCTTGGGAGATTATATGAGGTGCCAGGGATCGAACCTGGGTTGGCTAGGTGCAAGGCAAGTACCCTCCAAGGCAGACAAAAATATTCTGAAGTAAATTCTTTAGTATTTCATGACACAGATGCTGGGTTTTGGGTTTTTGGTCTTGAAGTACTGTGAGCTGTCTCCTTTCCACGGCCTTTCTAGCAGAGAGGGAGAGGTAGAGAGAAGAGAGAAAGTAAGGTAAGAAAGTGGGTGAGCTAGTTGTATGGTCAGGAGCAGGCTGGGAAGCACAGAATCTTTTTTGGGGCACCTCAGGCCCTGACTTTATCTTTGTTTATTTATTGTTTTGCTTCTTGTGCCAGTCTCAGCTATGATCAGGGCTCACTGCAGGCTCTCACTCAGGAATTACTTCTGGTGCTCGGGATAGCAAGCACCTGCCATGTGGGATGCTGAGGATGGAACCCAGGTCAGCCACGTGCAAGGCAAGAGCCTTCCTCTCTGTGCTGTTGCTCCGGCTTCTCAGTACCTGACTTGGTTTCTGTGCCACTGACTGAAAATGGGGCAATTTGTGCCCTTCACTGCAGGCCTTTCCTCCTTCTGACATCTCCTTCCCCTTCTCTGTTCCAGCTCTTTCCATCTGAAGGATGCCCTGACCACAGTCGGTGAGAAAGTCTGCCTGGAGGTGAGCAGCTGCCTTTCCCTGTGTGGGTTCAGCCCCTTCACCCTGGACAAGGAGACGGCACTCAAAGGCCAGATCCAAGCAGTGGCCAGTCCCGATGACCCAGTCCGCAGGATCATGGGTACGTTTGGGGAAAGGCAGGAGGCAGGAATGTGCCATCGGGGGGCTGGTCGGACAGAGCCCTCTGTAGAGTTCTCTGAGGGTTTTGATGGGTCCTGAGGTTGAGGAGGGAGACGGGCTGAGATACAGCCAGTGAGGGCAAGGCAGTTTGTCTTCACGCCCTGAAGCTCTGACTTTGCAATCACATGCTGTGATTCAGTTATTCCTGCCCTGTGAAGCAATAGAGTGTGTGTGTGTCTGTGTATGTGTGAGTCTGTGTGTATGTGTGTCTTGTGTTTGTGTGTGTATCCTTGTCCTGCATTTGTGGCACAGAGCTTCCACAGACCTTTTGTATGTATAAAGATATAAGTAAAAGTTGGGTTAAAGCAATAGTATGGTGGGTGGGACTCTTGCCTTGCATGTGACCTACCTGGATTTAATTCTTGGCACCCCGAATGATCCCCCAGGCCCACCAGGAATGATCCCTGCCTGAGTGAATCTGGGAGTAAACCCTGAGCAGAACGAGGAGTAAGCCCTGTACACAGTTGGATATAGTCAAAAAATTTCCAAAATAAATTTTTAAAGTTTTAAAGAAAAATAAACTTGGAAAAAGAAAGATGTGAAAGCACTAGAATCATCCTTTATTGTAGTATTATTTATTTATTTAGGATTTGGGGTCACTTACAGCAGTACTCAGGGCTTACTCCTGGTTCTGCATTTAGGGATCACTCCAGGTGGGCTCAAGAGACCATATGTGGTACCTGAACTTGATATCAGGTCGGCTGCAGCTGTACTATTACTCCAGCCCCATTTTCTAATGTTTTATTATTATTTTGGTTTTTGGGTTACTCCAGCCCCATGTTCTAGTGTTTTATTATTATTTTGGTTTTTGGGTTCTACCTGGCCAGCGCTCAGGGGTTAATCCAGGCTCTGTACTCAGGAATCACTTCTGAAAGTCTTGGAAGACCATATGGGATGCCAAGGATGGAGCCTTGGTCAGCTGCATGAAAAGCAAGTGCCCTCCCTGCTGTACTATCTCTCTGACCACAGATGACTATTTTTTTTTTGTAGTTTACTGAATCACCGTGAGATATAGCATTACAAAGCTGTTCATGATTGGGTTTCAGTCATACAGTGTTCCAATACCCATCCCTCCACCAGTGGACATTTCCCACCACCAATATCCCCCGTCACTGCTCTCCATCACCCCCTCCCCCAGCTGCCTCTGTGTGCTCTCTCTCCTCTTCTCTCTCTCTCTCTCTCTCTCTCTCTCTCTCTCTCTCTCTCTCTCTCTCTCTCTTTCTCTGTCCTTTATGGTTTGAAATACAGGTACTAAGAGGTCTTTGTGTTTGTTCAGGGAGCTCAGTATCTTTATCGCTGGAGTGGATTTTTTTTTTAACTGGGTGGCAGCTTTGGGGTGTGGATGTGACTGCCAGGGCTTCTAGAAGTACAGGAGGTGGGAGGAGGTACCTCATCCCAACTCTAAGGAAGCCTGGAGGTTTCAGTCACAAAATCCACATACCCAAATGTTTAGCAGATTAATATCTGTGAGTTCTGTCCTGAGATGCAGTCCTGCCCACGGCATGGTGGTGATTTTGGATTGCGGGAATAGGTGGTTGATGGGTTCTCTGTTTGGGCAGGCACTGGGATAACCTGACCCCCTTCTGATGTTCCCCTGATTATTCAGCCTTGCATGGGTCTGAGATTTACTGCATTTTTTTAAAATCTCTTTCGAGATTTATTATTGGGTTTCTGGAGCAAGGCTGGTGGAAGAGCTTACATGGTGGCGCTGAAGTTGGTTCATGGGGGTAACTTCTGGGGCTTCTGGGAGTATAGGGAAGTGGGGGGAGGTAACCTATCCCCGCTCTGAGAAAGCCTGGAGATTTCAGCAGATGATTAATTTTTGAAGAAGTCTGTCTTGGTTCTCTGAGATCTGAACCTGTGAGCACCGTTAGCCTTCCTTTATTTATGCATACCCTATTCTTCTATGCCTAAAGTGCCTTTCCTGGGCCCAATATTCCAGAATGAGAACGACAGACAAGCTTGGTTCCTAGCCTCATGAGACTAATCACCGAGAAGTCAGGAAACATCACAATAGGGTAAATGTCCAGACATGCAGGGGACTGAGAGTATCTGGTCTGGGAAGGCTCCAGTTCCCCCCAAAGAATATGAACGTTTAATCAGAAGTTTGTCAAGTTGTTGTAACAAATAGCACTGGGCTTTCTTTCCTATCACAGATTCCCGAATCCTGACCTTCTTAGAAACCTACCTTGCCTCGGGCCACCAGAAGTCATTACCCACAGTCCCTGGGGGGCTGGGTCCGGTTCAGAAAGAGCTGGAGGACGTTGCTGTTAAGTTTGTCCGCCTGGTCAACTACAACAAGATGGTCTTCAGCCCCTACTATGACGTGATCCTCAACAAGATCCTGGCCAGCTCCTGACAAGTGCGTTTCCCGCCTCCACTGCAGTATTACTCACTCAGCTCCGAACACCCGTTCTCAACTCTAATGTTGCTTGGAAGATGGCTACTTGGTACATTTCTGTTTAGCAGCACAGGTTTTCCGAAGGCAAGACTGTGGCAGATCAACTGTTGAGAGGAACATGCTGAAAGACCATACCGAGTTCTGTTTGGAGAGTTTGTATTTCTGAGTGCAAGTTTACAAGTCAAAGAAGCTTTTTGTCATCTGGAGATTTGTGGGTAGCACTTTGCTGGGAAGCTATTGGCTTCCTTGTGCCCCAACTCTGTCATGATTGGCGCTGCCTTGTCCCTCCACGAGGCTGGGACATCAGGGTGGTTTTTCGTTCAGAAACTGAGACCATGACACCCGAGAGTGGAGGCAACCAGGCAATACGTTTAGGGCTCTTGCCCCTCTGTTGGCTGGCCCCACTCCTCCCTTCAGATATTTTGTGTTCTGAGGGCTGCGTCTGGCCTTACTGCTCTTCTTCCTTCCCTATTGATTGCAGTCTCTCTGCTCGACCTCGCTTGAACCCCAGGGCCCTTTCCAAACAAGAGCGACTTGGTTTTTAATAAATTACTTGATTGGAGTCAGGGATGTAATTCAGTGGTAGAGCTGCATTCGATCCTAGGCACTACCAAAACAGAGTCACTGGGTTTGAAAAGTTTTTCCTTTTCAGAGGCTGGAGCATAGTAAAGTAGGTAGGGTGTGTTTGCCTTATATGTGTTCAACCTAGGTGTGATCCCCAGACCCCATATGACCCTGCCAGAAGCAAGTCCTGAGCATAGCTGGGAGTGGGTGCTAACCAAAATACAAGGTTTTCTTTTTAAATTATCTATTTATTTATTTATTTTATTTATTGGGGCGGGGGGTAGGGGTGATACCTGGATGTACTCTGGGTTTGTATCTGGCTCTGTGCTCAGGGGTCACTGTTGGTGACCAAGGGACCATCGTATGGGGTGCTGGGGATCAAAACGTATGTTTTAAATATCTATGGTATTCTGGGGCCAGAGCAATAGTGTAACTTGTAGGGCACTTGCCTTGCATATGCCTGACCTGGGGTTGATCCCTGGCACCCCATATGGTCATTTAGCCCTGCCAGGAGTGACCCCTCAGTGCAGAGTCAGCTGTGAGCCCTGATTGTGGCCAAAAATAACTATATATATATATATATATATATATATATATATGATGCTCTGCAGTGCACTCGGGGCGGCCCACCTGTCTGGATGCTGGCGGTCTGTTGATGGCTCCTGGGAAACTGGCTGGCGAACCCAGACGTGGGAGGAGGGATGGGGGAAGGTTCTCCATGTACCTGCTAAACTCTGCTTGGAGGATGTTTCACAGTCAGAGAGGTCTGCTGTGCTGAACGGTCAGAAGGTCTTACCTAAGTTTGAACTCAAGAAGAGATCTTCCCACATCATTGGAAGGGAAATTAGAAATTCAGTAAGTAGAAACTATAGTCCAAAATTCTGTATTTTTCAGTGTGTTCTATGAGATCATTCTGGGAAGGTCATTATGTGGCCACTTGTTGATTTGGGGGCTGAAAGCCCAAGCACCCACAGCTAACACTTTCCCTGCCTGATCCCCAGTTTTTGGCGCCCTCTCTCCAAGGTTGAAGGAGAGAACTTTTATCCCCAGATACACAGGGCAGATCAGTTCTTTTTCTCTATTTTTCTTTTCAAATTAATACATATATATATATAATTAATTGAGTCACCTTGAGATACAGTTAAAAAGCTGTTCATGATTGGGTTTCAGTCATACAATGATGTTCCGACACCCATCTCTCCACCAATGCACATTTCCCACCACCAATGACCCCAGTTTCTGCAGGCACTCGCTTGCTCTCCCCTCCCTCTCTCCTCCTCTCCCTCACCCCCACCCCCACCCCTTGCACTCCAATTGGGCATTATGGTTTGCTATACAGATACTGAGAGGTTATCATGTTTGTTCCTTTACCTATTTCAGCACGCAGTTCTTATCCAGAGTGATCATTTCCAACTATCATTGCCACAGTAGTTCCTTCTCTATCCCAATTGCCATCTTCTCCAATACCTGAGACAGTTTCCAACCTATGGACCAGTCCACTGGCCCATGTTTCTGCTGTCCTTGGGTTTCAAAACCTCTAAACTCTTTTTTTTTTTTTATTAGTGAAACACCATGAGGTACAGTTGTAGATTTACAATTTTTTGTGCTTGGGTTTGATTGTACAATGATCAGATACCCATTCCTCCACCAGTGCCCATTTTCTACCACCATGGATAATATTCCCCCCCATCCCCCATCCCCCCTGCCTCTGTGGCAGGGCAATCCCCTGTGTTCTCTCTCTCCTTTTGGGTGTTGTGGTCTGCAAAAGAGGCATTGAGTGGCAAACATGTTCAGTCCATAGTCTACTTTCGACATGCATCTCCCCTCCTGGGAGGATCCTCCAAACACCCTTTATTTGGTGTTCCCTTCTCTATCTGGGCTGCCCTTTCCTCTAGAATGCCCGACTGGCCACTAAGCTATGGAGTAATCCTCCTGGTGCTGATCTCAGAAAAGCTCTAAACTCTTACAGGTGTGTGTGTGTGTGTGTGTGTGTGTGTGTGTGTGCATGCACATGTGTGTGTTGTTGTTGTTTTGTTGCTTTTTTTTTTTTTTTCGGGAGGATGGGTTTACACCTAGCGATGTTCAGGAGTTATTCCTGGCTCTGCGCTCAAGAATTGCTCCAGGCTGTGTTGGGGGGACCATATGGGATGCCGGGGATCAAACTGAGATTGACTGCATGCCAGGCAAACACCCTACCAGCTCTATTATCACTCTACCCCAGGTGTTATTTTTTTTTTATTATTTTTTTTTACCTGGTGTTTCTAATGTGTCAAGAATAAATTTGGACAGTTTGAAATCTTGGTGCATGTCTAAGTATCAGGGAGCTTCCCAGTAAGAAATGGGGGTCTCCCAATAACAGGAGCCCCACCTGCCTCAGTGTCCACAGCGGGGTTCAACAAGTGGTAAACACAGAGAAGGAGGCAGAGCTCAGAAGCAGAAAGTTTACATGAACCACTGTTTCCCTGCTAAGATAATTGAAATGCTTAGAATATAACAGCATTATCACTAATGGGCCAGGAAATCTAGTTCACTTAGTAACACAGGGTGCATTTATTCTCTACTTTTATCTCCCCTCTGTGTACCTCCAAGGGAAGAAAAAAACACTTTGAGGGCTAAAGAGACAGAAACGAAATGCAGGTTCTTGCTTTGCATGTGGTTAACCCTGGTTTGAATCCCCAGCACCCAATTAGGTCCCCCAGTATTACCAGCTGTGATGCTCCCTGAGCACTATTGGGTATATCCCCTCCCCCCATTTATTTGTTATTCTTCAAACTTGAATTAGCTCCATACATTGCCTCCTCACTGAATTTGACTTCCTAAATGAACAGGTTTATCTTATTAACTGATGTGACTTGATTTCTTGACTGAACAGGTTTACGGTATAACTCGACGTTTTATCTGGTGGTGGAACATCACTACACATGCCAGAACTGAGCACCCCGGAGTCGGGTCACTATCACCAGGCCTTTTAGATTTGCAAGTGAATAAATGTCCAGAGCAGCAGTTGCCACTTTTGTCAGTTCTTGGTTTAGTAGGTGGATGACTTGGGCTCAGTGTAGGTGTTTTAATCTCATTTATTTGGGTGGACGGGTAGGTGGGGAGGGCTACAGATACAGTTAAAGTCATAAACCACATGCCTAGCCCATGTCTTACATTGCTGGGTGTGGACCCTATAAAAAAAAAAACTGAAAATGGAAAAAAGCGTAAATCTCAAAGCCAACTGTAAATTGTGACTGTTTGCATGCATCTCTGAAAGTGTTCCAGGTGAGAACCATACTGGGAACCCAAGTGATTAAAAGCCAGTAGAGCTCTTTTTTTAGCAGTGAAGAAAGGTTGTTAAGTTTGACAGAACAGGTGTTTCCTGTGCACGTAACAAACAGGCCCATGCTGGTGGACTCGGAAGGCGTTCCTCAGGAGTTGTTTTCATGGAGAAGCTTGAATATGATCTTAACCTTAAGAATCCTGGGAGTAGAGGGCCGCTGCCTCTCCCCTCCAGGGACTTCCGGTTGTTGTGTGTGCTGTGTGATCCCTGTGACATTTCAGCTTGCCCTGATGCAGAGGTATAGCATTTCTCTTTTCATTTTGTGATGGGGTGGTAGGTTAGAAAGATTGGGAGTTGTCAAATTGCTCATCTCCCCTTTCCGTTTTGTACCAGTCCACTTCCAACACCTATAAAATGAACACACAAGCCCGCCTTTTAGCTCCTTTCTATATTACTGGGACACTTGGGATCAGTTTGTTACGCTTATCAAACAGGGTACAGTTGGATTGTTTGCCGTTCCTGGTTTACAGAAGTTCTGGGTGTCAGCCTTTCTCCTGGCCTTCCTTATTGGTTGTATGAACAAGGTCAAGTCATCTCCCATGGGCTTCAGTATTTTCTTCTATAAAATGGGAAGTTAGTTACTAACATACTTCCTGTGAGGATTAAAGCGGATATTAAAAAATATTTCACATGTGGAAAAGACGACAAAGTGCTCGGTCGTTGGTGCCCAGCTGCCTTAGTCAAGCACATTTTATAGGACTGTAGGGAAGTTTTTCCTCCTTTCCAGGCTGTTCCTTTCATGATTTTTTTCTGTATCAGAGCTGCAGTCTTTTTCATGTCCCAACACCCATCCCCACCCCACTGATTTCTACCTACTTCGCTTGTTTGAATTAAGTGCATGAATGAATAGCAGTGGATGGTGGACTATAATATCACTTATTTTGGCTCTGGGGGAATGTCTTGTGCCAGGAATCAAACCCGGACCTCCCAACTGCATGCCCTCTGAGCTCTCTTTCGACCTGTCATATAAAGACACTATCACATTGAAAATATAATCTAAAGAATAAGAGTGGTGCTTGCATGGTGCTTGCAGTTGTATATTTGTAAGGGCTTTTGATGGATAATCTCTTTTTTTTGTTTGTTTTTTGTTTGGGGGCACATCTGGTGGTGATCAAGGTTTGTTCCTGGCTCTGCACTCAGGAATTTCTCCTGGAGGTGCTTATAGGATCATGTGGGATGCTGGGAATTGAACCTGGGTCAGTCACATGCAAGGCAAGTGCCCTACCCACTATATTATCTCTCCAGCCCCCGATGGCCAGGGAGATGACTGTTAAGCTCAATAAATTCTATTAATCTATCAGAAATGTTCACTGATGACACAGCTGGAGTCCTAGAAAATGAATTTAAAACCTCCCAAAGGCAGAATTTTACTTAAAATATCTTCTAGCGTGAGTTTCTGTTATTCCTGACTTAAATATGTTGCTTTCTGAATGAGAATTAAACCTATTCTAAAAGCCTGGTTGGTTGGAGCAGCACTTAGTTTTCAGATCAGGTATTTCAAATTATTCAGAGTTAGAGACAATAGAACTTATCATCTGAA